GTGAGGATCGTCGCGACATCCGCCTTGAGACCCGCTTACTTGGCGCATTAATGGGTCGATGCGTTATAGGACGTGTTAATGCGACGAACCGTGCGCTGATAATTATCAAAGAGGACTTTGACTGCCGCGTCCGAGAACAGACACGAGACAAGCAAGGGTTGGCGGGGCCGAAGATGCGCAACGCCGGCCATGGCGAAGGTGTTAATATGACTTGTGTATCTCGCCCTATCGCTAATTGGATCAAATGGTCGGCCGACCGTCTTTGATCGATATGTTTAGTGAGGGATTTCGTCACGAGTAATTACAGACGGTGTAGCGGTGGCAGCTACTGACAAAAGCGTCGGCGCGCGCGCGCCGTCGGCCCCCGCGCCATTGTCTCGCGGAATTGGGTTACGCGATCGTGACCAACGAAGCTGGCAATTTCCTGCTTGCTATCGTGCCCCGCATCGAGATTCGATGATGCCTACGGCAAATTATTTCCTACGGATCTGTCATCGATTTGGTTAATGATCGCGGTCTGGCCACGATAATGACGGTATTCATTGACGATTGACGGACTCGGCCCTAACGCGCGCCATTTTCGCATACGCGTGATCGCCGATTTGCGATCGCGTGTAACTTTACGTTACGATGTGAGATTTATAAAAACGGAAGCAAACAAAGACACGATGGATCGCACGATTTTAGTTATCAGAGCCGTTTGAAAATCTATCTTTCGAGACATTGCGTCATTGCGTAGGTTTGAATTTTCTAACGTGTCTTCCAGACTTAAACATCCCAGGTCAATATGGATATTTCACATTTATTGCACAACCGATATCCACACTAAGAGAAAAGTATATGATATTTGGAACTATAATGATATAGTAACTAAATTATAGTCCGAAATATCATATTTATAGTAAGTATTATCATAATATCGGTAATAATTACGATATAGGCATAGTATAACCAACCATATAATATTTTTACTAAGAATTATAGTAAGTTAAACTAAAATTATTGTATGGATACAAATATAAACTGGTGGGTAAAGTGACTCTTTTATATAGTCAATATTACCAGAATATTTGCTAAATGATGACAGATGTAACTATATGAATATTAAATCTCACTATATTTGTGAATGAGAAATTACCATATATGTGTAATAAAAGTAACTAAACAATTATTTGAGACAATCATTGACTATATATTTGTGTTTATTCTACTATATTTTGCAGGTTTCCACGAACTATAAAAATATGGTTGACGCCAAAATGAACTATAAAATATAGTGAGATTATAGTTAATTCAACTATATTTTTCTATCAGTGCAGATGTTTAATTACTCCCGCTGCGAATAATATATACACTAGATAATATTTGAACATCTTGCGAGCTTGTAACAGCTAGGAGAAATTAGATGGCAGACAGATGAGCGAACGAGAAAGGGGGAAACGGAGCGTTAGTGATGTACCGATGAAAAGAGATGATGCTGTTTTAGACTAATCAAGGTTCTTTAAGATCGTAATGAATTCTCTTTTGCTATTTCTTCGGCTATGAGAATTTGAAATGGCGGACCTCTATAAATCTGAGAAAAATAAATTGCACAAACTGCTTACTTTGTTCCACGGGACCTTGTGTTTACGATTGTTATTCAAAAAATTGTGGCTGGAACGAATATCAGAATTTGTCGGATAAAACTTCTTTGTTTGCACATTCCTTAATGTATTTTGGTAATTGATGCTCAGCAAGCATTCAGAGTTGTATGAAAAGCCTTCCTACCTCTCCATTCTCTCTCTCTCTCTCTCTCTCTCTCTCTCTCTCTCTCTCTCTCTCTCTCTCTCTCTCTCTCTCTCTCTCTCTCTCTCTCTCTTTCTCTTTTCCTCTCTGCTTTTCATTCGAGTTGAGCGGAAGAAAACAGAGAAAGACAGAGAGAAAGGACCGTGAGCTTTCATCGTTGACATGTAAAAGTGGTAAATAAATTTTATACGCCCTGCCCTGTTTACATCTATAACAAGGGATATATTGTTCAACTAATTGCTATGTAACGGAAAATGACATTTTTTAACGATCTGTTTTTGATCTGATGGAACTATTGAGATATTGTTTTTTTTTTTTATTTTAATAATTCGTTGGAATCAAAGTAAATCCATTTTTCAAATTTGTATAGGCTTTTAATTTGTATGAGCATATAAATGTTCGGCAAAAACCATTACGGATTTTCATTATAGATTTCTTCATGCGTCAAAAAATAGTCATAAAACGCGAATCGCAACTTTAAAAAGAGGAAATTTTTTTATCTACCACGCTTTCGCGCTTCCATAAGAACGAAGACAAAATAACCGTCACGAAATAACTATACAAGACTGGACGTGTCATTGTTGCAATTTTCCCGGCAAACATTACACCCAGCTGTAAAGCGGTTGGAAGTCATTTATGTTTCATCTTATACGGACAACGGCTACATATTTGTATTGCGTTCGCGTGTGCAAGCAAGTCTGCCGAGGTACATGCTTTGTCATCTTATTCTATTTACCTTGGGGAGGACGCACCTTCGCAGTGTTGGTCCTAGCGTGCATCGCACCGCCTTTCCGGTGATAATCGTTCAAGTGCTTGTGACAAACAGCAATGGCTCCTCTCGTTGAGCCCACATAGTTCGCATTAAAGGTCGCTGTCGATAGATATTGTCTCTAGATGGTCTCTAGTTTCGATCGTTCAAAAGAGTTGAGATGCAAGTCACTTGACTTTTCTCATTAAGGGGACTGGAGGGTCAGATTACCGAAAAATCGTGCTTGTTTTTGATAATGATTTGGTGACGAACTGAATAAATGTGCAAGAATGAAAGTTTTACATATGTTTATGTAACATATGAAGAGTAGAAAAATTTTATTTTTAAACAAATACTTATTTAAATATACGTCCACTTAAATTTTAAACGCGTTTCTCTCGAAAATTTATTGTTCAACTTTTTGCAGGGATTTCTCCGAAACTGAGCTTCGTATCAATTTGAAATTTTAAAGCAATGATAGTTGTTCATGTGGCTTTCAGGTGAACCATGGACAACTCCGTCAAAATAATTCATTTCGAGGTATTAATTTTTTTATTGCAAAATAACTGAAAAATTTGAATTTTGTCCTAATAATAGCTGCCATTTTATTAATTTTGTTCGATTTTTTTTCTAATGGTTCACCGGATAATGATAAGCCTCCTCAAGATTTCTAGCTAAAATTCGCTCTAATCGGACCACTGAGAGCCGAGATATTACTGCAAAAACGATAACTTGGAAAAAAAAAGGAGAATGTATTTCAGCTGTATATATCGTATATTTATACGAGTATTTGTTAATAAACAAAATTTTTCTACTCTTCATATGTTGTATAACTATACCTAAAATTTTCATTCTTGCATATTTATTCAGTTCGTCACAAAATATTATCAAAAACAAGTACGATTTTTCAACAATCTGACCCTCTAGTCCCCTTAAGCAACTTGAGAAACGTCGAGTCAAGTATTTTCCATTATTATTAAAAAGCAACAATCATATGTTGTGTGTGTGCACACACCATGCCTTTCCATTGTAATCAAGATTATCCATATTTTGATGTTTACTCGTAATAAAATAAAATAGAGATAGGAACAATCACGTACACATTGTATATTAACCGACAAAATAGCCTTAACTTGCACCGAGTTAAGTTCTAATATTTTATAACCGCATGCATTATTAATTCGATATTTACATCGATTATTGAAACGGATATAACATGTCGAACTAAAAATCTCTCGCTGTGTAATTAGAAAGTACCAGTGTAATCTAATTACACAACGTGTGTCAAACTATTCCGCAGACATCAGCGTAGACGCCGTGTCGAAATTATTCTAATTGATCCTATTTGTCTTTCGCCGCGTGCTCGACATAGTCTGGAATATCCAGCGGCGAGCCGCAGTCACACAACATATACATACATACCCACACATACAGTAGATTCGTCCACGTTCGGTACGGCCGGTTGCGCGCAGTAGATACGTCCACGATTGGCACGGCCAAAGTCGAGCAGTAAGCACGTCCATGACTGGCACGGCCGGTCGCGCGCAGTAGATACGTCCGTGATCGGTGCGAACGGCGTCGGGCAGTAGGCACGTCCATGACTGGCACGGCCGGCTGCGCGCAGTAGATATGTCCACGATCGGTGCGGTCGCTCACGGTGAACGCTCACGGTGAACAGGGCGGACGCGCCGCGTTCACTGAGGACAAATGACGAAATTAGGAATAATTATTCAAGTATATAACCCGATAAGTTACACGCGGGGGCGAGGGGGGGGAGGGGTGGGCATAAGCGGCAGCGGGAAGAGGGTGTGGTAATACGTAGCGGAGTAAAATATGATGTAGAGTTCGGCCAGTCTGGCGAGCGCGCCACCGTGGCTAATACGTTTCAGGAAGAAGTTAGTAACAGGTGGCGCAATCCATAACACAACGCGCAGTGTGAAATTTGCCCAATCTAGGAAGGACAAAAGTATTTTACGTGGTCGCGTGTAAATATACGCGCATTGCATTCAATTCCGTACATTTATTTGGTAATTGTTGGCTCACGTAGCCCGAAATGTTGCAAACAACCTTTCCTTTGAAAGGGAGAGGAATATGTGGGAAATAAGATTATATCGATACCGATATAATCTTATTTCCCACATATTTACGTATTTATAAATACATCAACGCATCGAAAGTATCGATTAAAAAATAACTATATATGCTTCGTGTTTTGATTGCATCCAATTCAAATGTGAAATATGTTCCAACGTGTATAAATTTTTTTTATTTGTCGTTACATATACGCTTTGACACGAATTAGCATTGGTACGAATCGTTACGAAATTTGACTCGATTTGCTCGCGTGGGAAAAGGATGTATAAATACATACATCTCTCCGCGAAATGCTAACGATAAGGTAAATTTTTATATAAAACATACCGTAGATCTGTTTTTCGTCTTAAAAGAATAATTAATTTTGTTACAGTGTCTGCACCACCAAGCACCAGTCCTAGTCCCTCTACCACAGAACTACCGAAGAAAGGTGAGCTCTTAATTACAGTGTTATGATTATGTAATCGCGGCAGTTGAATAAAAATCGCGGTTCACTTGCTAAACAAGCGCACATTATACTAGGAAAAACGTATTGTTGCGTGAACCAAAATTTTGTTGTAACAACAAAATAATTTGGTTAAAATATGCCCGACAAAACTGTTTAGTTCCTGTAAACAAATATCTTGTTTGATTACGGTTTGTTCGTATAACGTAATACTTTTGTTATAGCAACCAAAAAGCTTTAACTATATGAATTTTGTTAAAGATACTATAATTTTTTTCTTAATATATAAAATCTAAATTTTAGTGCACAGAAAGACAAAATAGTATCCATTGGACATTATTTTAGTTTATGTAAAATAATATTTCATTATTATGTAATTTTTACGGATAAAATAACTAAAATGTTTAATTTTTATATATGAAGTCTAAGAACAAAATCATTTGGTCCAGAGAACAAAGCAGAAAAATATATTTAGTTGAGACAACTAAATATTTTGTTATATAACAACAAGATATTTGGTTGCTATTAAAAAATACCTCAACTAAACAGTTTTGTTAGAGATACTAATTTTTTTTCCTAGTGTACGCTAACAGTAACAAGATCACGATTTTCATCGTGAAATCTGATAATTCTACACAATACGATTGATATTATTTCGATCGAGTGTGCGTATGTCTCGCATGTATGTGTATGAATCGCATCGTACTTGGCCGTTGGAATCTAATTTTCCAATGTACGTTTACTTTAGCAGATTGGGAATTGATGGCGGAGATGAATAACTCTGTTTACGGAAATCCAAGTTCGCTGACAATTCATAACGAGAGGAATATCAAGACAGGTGAGTGTGTCCCGAGCGTATCGTGCAGCTATTTTTGCATTTCATTTTGCGTAGCGAAATGTATCTCTGCAATACCGTGAATTACGAGCATTGACTTCGCAATTTAGTATTTCAACGAAGTAGCCCAGTCGCTGGCTGTCGCGCGACGTATATCCGAAGAGTATCAAGCACTTGAGATGTACATTTAAGGAAAGTATTCTCTTCGATCTTGATCTCTGCTCGCATCCATCATTCAGACCTTTCTCGCGGAGCACATACGAAAAAAGAAGGAGGAAACACCGGGACAGGGAATCGAATTTGGAAACGACATAATGTCGGAAATGATAAAAGGAGAAATCTATCAAGTACGGGAACATTATCCGAGAGAGAGAGAGAGAGAGAGAGAGAGAGAGAGAGAGAGAGAGAGAGGGAGGGGACTGCGAATAAGTTATTAACGCAAATTGTACCGTCGTTGACGCGCCAAATTCGCCTTGTCGGAACTTGCTCTTGTTTCAACTTTCCTACATTCGTGTAGATCTCATTAATACGTAAAAAATTCCTGTGGGTGGTGAACGCATGAGGGGAAAAGTTTTAGCTGCAGCCCGTAACCTAGTAAAATCTCAACTAGTTAATGGATTTACGTACTCGATTCGACATCGTGTACAATCAAACGCCACTCCGTAACTGCATTTTCCTGTGACACACTTTGAATCTCCGGCGATTAACTTCGATGTTAACTAGAGCCGGGGGACCCACCCGGGAAACCCAGGAATCGATTGCGGCTTTAAGAGTGGTTTGAAAGGTAAGCAGCCGGCTTTAAGCTCTCTGACGGCACGAAAGAGAATTACGAAAATAATGTCTGCAACGAGACTACTATTGAAATTCCAAAAATGGATTTTCCTTTCGCTACGCATCATCATTGGTGTCGTCGCAAAATGTAAGAAATTGTGCTACGTAAATCCACCTTCAGTCCATAATATTTGACGAGATGAATTACGCGCACGCGCATGTCAGTGATAACACATTATTATCTGATAAAACCGGTAATTTTTAACGGAAAAATTTAAACAAGTTTCAAACCAGACATGTGCGTCTTTTGTTGGCAGAGTAAAAACGAATAAGAACAAACGTTGGAGTTTGAACCGCAAATCTCGGATTATATATTTTTTAATATAATTATAATTGAAACATATAAAATATTCTACAGAATATTCTAAATGATTCTTTACAAATCTATGGTTTCCTTCCATGGATCGTCGAGTACCCGATCACCGTTGTTACACGTGTGAGTAGACGTACAAATACAATACATCTTGAAAAAACAAAGTATGGCGATGTGAAGTGGAAGAAGTCCGGTTGCGATCATTCGATTAACCTGATTTACCCGGAACAGAGCTGGAATGTATTGACATGAGAGGAGAAAGAAGGATTGAATGTAATCGTACCAAGTTAAACTTTCCTCGAAAAATAAACACGCGGTTTCTGTCGAAAAAGCTTACAAACAGAGCGAATGCGGGATTAATAGAACGGAAAGATGAAGGCACGAGAGTAACGGAGAAGGTAATTAAAGCGATGCTCAGGAACGTACGAATGAAGGGACATGTGGAGGAACGCGCGAAAGATAGTTGAATAAATAGATATAGGTAGGAAAAAAGAGAAGAAGAGGGGCGAGTGAGAAAGAGAGCGGGGGAAGGGTGAGAGAGAAAGAGAGAGGGAGAGAGAGGAGCCGAAGAACATAGTTGACTCGGGTAGAAGAGATCCCTGTAACATCAATATTTCATGTATGCTAATACGCCGGAACTAATAATGCTGCGGCGTGGAAGACCCAAGAATAATATCAACCGCGCCGCGTTGTAGCTCGCGTTCTCTTTCTCTCCCTCACTCCCTCCCTCTCTCTCTCTCTCTCTCTCCTTCTTTCACTTCGTCGTTCTCTCGCCTCGCACCTTCCTCGTCTTTATTTCTTTCTTTCGCTTTACTCTCTATCACCTAAAACAGCGACGTGCGCAGCGCCCCTATCCTCTTGCGCCTTGTGTTAAATTTAATCGAAAATTCGTGTCTCGTTGGACCACCGCTGCTTCCGTGTCTACGTGTCTCCGTTCCTCCTCCCCCTCCCGCTGTCACCCTTTCTTTTACATATAACCTATGTCATCGTCCGGGGGTGGAAAGGTGAGAGCGAAAAGATGGAATCGCGAGAAGGGAGAGAACGGGATAACGGCAGTGGGATGTGGTAAGTTTGAATACGGCATATATCCCTTCCACCCCTTGTCTCTCTCACTCTCTCTCCTTCTCTCTCTCTCTCTCCCTCTTCCTTCTATTCGCGGAGGCTGGAGAGCAGGAAAGGACGGGCTGCGAAGGAAGGATGAGGTTTGTAATTGGTGCAACATCTGCGGTCTGCAGGATGGCATTAATGTTTGCTCTCTTCGTGCTCCTCTCCCTTGTCTATTCCTCTTCTTCTTTCTCCCATTTTCTCTCCGCCCCCCCCCCTCCAACGCCCGTATCCCGCTTGTATTTCCATCGACTCTGAGAATCGCTGTTTTTCTCTTATCACGTTCTTTCTTTTTCTCTAGTATTTATCCTTTCATTTAACTACGTTTGCGTGCATTTTCTTGTTTCTTTGAGCACTTTATTTTTATGTCATCTTCGTACTCTACTATGTTGCTTGACTGATTCTGTTTTTTACTTCGTCGAAGGTTCCGTGTCCCTCTTTACACCCGTTACGCTGTATGTTTGTCGATTTGAAATTGTTTCTTTCATTTCGCGCGCACGTAATTTAAAATGAGCGAGGGAAAGAGGCACAGTTTGTGCGAAGAAATCGCTTTGATGAGTTGAGGGAAGAGAATAATGAAGGAATTTCAACCTTGTCTTATTAAAGATACATTTTATTACATAATTACATGAGAATAACGAGAATAAAACAACTTTTCCATTTATGCGAAGTGGAAAAAGTTAACCGAAACTCTTGGCGCCATTTTTATCCCGGCGTTGCAGGTGGGACGATTCACTTTGCAGGAAATGTATGTTAGAGTGAAACAAGAGAATTATGAGAAGATATTAATACGTTAACCAGTCTCTCTTGTAACACACATATATATACTTTTTACACAGCCCTATTCGTCACACGTGTGTTTATAGAGGTTACAAATGTCAAGTAGCCGCGTTTTACAAACGATGAACGCATTTTAATCGTCGCTCATGCTCGTTGCAAAATAATTCCCCCAACATTTCACTCAACGTGCATTCAAATCGATTTCTTCATGAGAGGTTTCGAAAGTGCTTATCTCCTATGTATTGGAATCATTCGCTTCGATGGCTTCTCTTCGGCTACATCGCCAATCGCGCTGCACTGCCGCGACCGTAATGTCGCGCAAATTGTTTAATTCATGCGTTCATCGTACACACCCGCGAGACCGAGATCGTATGATCGTCTGTAAAAGTATCCGTTCGTTTCCCTCTTCATTTTATCTCGTGCTGCGCACTTTGCGGCCGCAAATTGTAGAAGCGAGCGTACATAGCCTACGGCGATAAGTCACTTTGAGGTTCCGATGGGAAACGGAGCAAGTATTGTCGCGGTATCGTGACATCTCCCGGAGCACATATGCCCTTAGGTGTCGCTTAATTCCCTCGGGCAGCGTTGTCCGCCTGTAATTCTGGGGGAGCATGTATAGCGATTGGTTTAGCCGCGTGCCTTCCTACGATTAACACGTCTCCTGTTCTACCGCTCGCGCGCGCGAGTTACTACGCCAGCAATAAAGGAATGAATGAGGAACGTAAAAATACCACATATTCGCACACATGTACTACTTTCATCACATCACGCGTCTATTACTTACATCGCAACGCGCAAAGGCGGTAACACAAAGTAACAGGTGGATTTATTTGCTTATTTGCTGTCGGTATTTATTCAAACTTCGCTTAACCGGATTGCCAAAATTTTGCTCTTCTCTGATGACGCCAAGCAGGAGCACTTGCTTGCCCCTTGAGAAACGGGCGATTTTTAGCCGCGGCGATCGAACGTTCGCGTCGCGTTGCCGAAACACATTCGATAATGTTAGTCGGTGTTCTCGAATTATCGCCGGGCCCCCTGGGCCCTATCGGTAGTTGCTTGGAAACTTTCCGCAGGGTCGACGGTCCTTAATAATACCTCGTTGTTAATGTGATCCAACGCAGCATCGCCTTGTAAGTTCCGACCGTGTACTTGACGTTTAATGCAAAGCATTTCCGATATCAATCTATTACGATAAGAGGATTCGCGGTGAAAAGCCCGTACATTGTCCCAATCGTATTCATAATTCTCACCAATGCTGCGGCAGCAGTATCGCAGTCGCTAAGCGTTGCGAGTTCTTCGATCTAATGTGACTTCGATATTCGGAAATGCTAATTTTCAGTGTCTCTCGCTGGCCTGCTTAGAATTTCAGAGGTATCGCAATTATCGTGCCGGTTGATCTCGTACACAGTAGACTGAGACAAGACGAAAGGAAGGATTCTTATGCACCTGAGGCATTGACGACGAGCAGTCTGCAATTTGCTCAGCGTGACGGGAAAAACACTTCATCAGTGAAATCGGTGACCGAGTCTTCTCCGGCGGAAAGAATGCTGAGAGAAAAAGCTCGAGTGTCTTTGCGAAGATTGTGGACTTACCGTCGGTACCAATGAAACTCGATACCACCATCTCGCCAATTGTCGCGACGCGATCAGTAACAACTTTTATTGCAAATTGAGACTCGAGATCGAAAGAATTGAAAGCATTAAAGATATGGCTTTGAGGATCGGGAAGAGGATACGATATCAAGCAATGTATCAAACGTAAAGGGGAGGATGTACTGATAATCCCTTGAGTGCCGTCAAGTCGAAATCTTGCACGGCGACATCTACGAAGACGAACGACAGAGGAGACACCATCGGAAAATGTGTGCCAATTCCTCTAGGTTTCAATTTGTAAGAGCAAAAGGACTGCTATGTGACGCGAATCTCATAGTGGTTAAAGATTCATCAAAGGGTACGCTGATACTTTGCGGATTATGTCAGATGAGAGACGTTGCGTCTGTCTCTAACGAAATCAATCAGGAACGTTCCTCAAATGGCACGATTCGCCGACAGGGCGAACACACGCACAGAGAGAGAGAGAGAGAGAGAGAGAGATGCAACGCTAAAAACAAGCAGTACAGCGTCTCGTGCAAATTTAAAAAATAAACAGGTCCAACATTTTTTTTATCCCCTCAAGCTCTTGCATCTGGTTAATCAGGAAAAAAGACAAACGAGACGGCATCAAACTTGAATTTCCCAGTCACTCGACGGAGGAGTCATGTCAACGACACCCCCAAAGCTATCGCCAAGATAGGTAACACCCCCGATCGGGGACGCCGCAGAGTCGAAGCCGAAATTCCGTGGCTGGATTCAGCCAAGTTACACCCTGGAAGTGCATTTTTCTACCTTAACCGCGCCGCTCAAAAGCCTCCTCCCTCTCGCGCGCGTGCGCGCGCGATTTTTCTTCCCCTCGAAAATTCACTCGCGCGCCGCTGTCGCAAACAACCCTCCTGATCCGGATGCTCCAGCGGAGTAGACGCGAGCAGGCTTACGCACCCCCGGAACCTCGCGCACGTTGCCTCTCTCTGTCTCTCTCTCTCTCTCTCTCTCGTTGAAGCGGCAGCGCCTAGTTTATGTCTAGTTCCTAAACACATCGTCGCCCACGCACAGCTATAGAGAAACAGCGGCGCATCGCGATAGAAATTCCCGCATATAGGAAGCTATAGAGACGGCCGACGCGGGCGCGCGCTCGCACACACATACACACACACACGCGCGTACGCGCGTGTACCGCGCGCGCCATGATACACACAATGTCACTGCTAATGTTTGGTCGAGATTTGCATACGTCTGTCTGGCCTATCCATTGCGTCGCCGTACGGTGTCTCACCTCGTTGTTCGAGGGTGTATCCGGCGAGGCGGCGGCGGCGGTGGCGGCGGTGGCGGCGATCTTACTCTGATATCAAGCTCCGGTATTATACACACGAGCGTATGTACATACATGCGAGCAGGACGCAAGCGCAAGCGTGCGGCCGCGCGCGTACACCCTCATGATCGCCCATTACCTCGCCGAAATAGGCTATCGTGCCAAGATCGTGTTCCCCGGCAGTGCTTACAAGGGCTCGCCTTGCCCCTACCCTGCCCAAGCCGACTGCTCCGCCTCGGGGCTGCCGTGAACTTACAAATCTAATCAGGAGGGAACGAAGACACAAAGCGGTGTTCAAGCACCTTGCTCCGCGGATACCCGAAAATTAAGCCATAAGTGCGTAGCTTGCCGGTCCGCGGCTGCCGCCGCCCGTTAAGCCGCGCGTCACGCGTCGCTGGAAGTTTAGTCGAGACTTCCTCGCCGAGACTTCCTGCGCGCGCGAGCGCACCCCAGCGGAAAAAGCTCGCGGAAAAGGAGCGGAGCCGCTGATGACGGTAATCCCGTGACGGTTCGGACGGCTCGTGAACCGCGGCCGCCAGCTATCGACGTCGTAATGCGATAAGTAATGGCGCGACTTGGCGAGCACGTACGCCAGCACGTGTGTGTCGCGGCCGCGGCCGCGGGAGTCCGATGTAACAATTCTTCAGCCCTCGCGAGAGGGAGGGTAAACGAAAAACGCGGGGTCTTGCGGAAAATGCGTGGCAATCGAAAAGGCTGTTGACCTCGTTGCTTTAGCCGCCATTAGCAGCTTCCTCTGACACGGAGAGAGCCGCGGGGCACACATATCGCGCGCGCGATAATGCGATCAGCTCTCTCGTGTACGCGCGGGATCTCACTGTGTAATTTTATCAAAATGCGCTCATCGCGCGAACCGTTCCGCTGCAAGAATGTAATTCAAAGTGGCGGGCTCGCGCGCGACACAAACGCGCGCGCGCCCCGTGACATGATAGAATCTACTTCGTGCGGATAAGGGAATTGTGTTTACTCGAAGTTTGCATACTAGTTAACGCGTTTGCCACCCACTTTATGCGTAACAGGCTCGTAAACATCTTCAGTCGAGAGGACCACTCGTTGCACGTCCCTTTGTCCGTTGGCGCCGCTACGTGAAACGCGCGCGGTGTTTTCTCTCGCTCCTTCTCTCTTCTCCTTCGGTTCCGCCGTTTTCGCCGTCTCGTCGACGACGCAACGACGGCTTTGCGACCGTCTTGACGCGAGATTTCATTCCTCGGCGGGAACGCGCGCGGGAAACGACAAATCGTTCATCAGCTCGCGTCGAATCTTTCCGTCGCCGACGAGTGGGCGACGTTTTCGCCGGAAATGTTGTCGCATTTCGTTCCTGCGGCTTACCGTCGCGCTCTCGCATGGGGCTCTTTGGAGCGGAGTCGTATCGATGTATGACGTTTCTCACGCTCGTCTTTCGCTCTTTCTTTCTTCTTCAAGGTACCAAGTTCCAGTCGAACCTTAACGAAATCGGCAAATCGGAGCAGAAGTCGGCCGAAACGGACAGGAAAAAGAATTACAACTGGTCCCCCGAGAAAGGTGAGTTTCACGCAAGGTCACGTCGAGGGCGAGCGTAGCTTGCTTGACCACGTACGTTGCAAGCACCAGTCAGACAGGTCGTGTCGCGACCGTTTCTTTCCGCCCTGTTGTCCCGCAAACTGACGATCCCTTCGAGAAGGGCCGCGAGTTCGAGGCGAGCTGGACACTTTACGGCCGGCCTCGCGGACTTTTGTTTCCTCCAATGCGAGTAATTGGGCGAAATATGCGACGGCCTCCCCCCTCCTCCTCTTCCAGATGGACACATCAGACGAGAGGGTTGAACAATGCGCGACTCGTGTCCGTCGGCTCATTCAGGTCCAAGCTTGTGAATAGCTCTTTCGGCCGGCGGCAGACGAGCCCCGCAGGAGACAAAACTGCAGCGGGATTTCCTGTCGAAGGTGCGGTTTATCCGACATTTCGCGGCTGCGCCGTGGCATTTAAGCGGCCGCCGTCTACCGCATTTCCGAGCGCGGGTCAGGTCAGGTGTAGCACCCTTCATAATTCCGCTAAGCCTTCGGCATTATCGGATAATTCTTTTCTGCTCTCGCATTTTTTTCCCTCCTCCTCCTCCTCTTCCTCCTCCTTCTCCTCTCGCCGTCCCGCGATTCGACTTCTCCTTTTCTCTCTTCGCCGCGACCGTCCTCCCCCTCCGCCACCTCCTCCGTAATTCAATCCCTGCTCCTGCCTTCTCTCCTCCTCCCCCCCTCCTCCTCTTCCTTCTACATTTCCGTCTCTCAATATCTCGCTCTCGAACGCGGTTGCTTTTATTTAAAATGAATTTGCATAATGGCAAAGTGTGAAAATCCGTTTTCTCCGCGGGAACGATCGCGATAGTCGCGGAGAAGTAGGTAATTTTGCATAGAAAAAGGCGGATTAGGTCGTAACGAGGAAAACTGAGTGGCAAGCTCCCGCACGCAAGTGTCTCGGAGCTGCCGGAGTTCCGAGGAGCGCGAGAAAAATATCGAGCGCCTCGAGAAGCCGGGAAACGTTGCCCTGTAACAAACACCCGACGAGGAGTCGCTCCATCTGATTCGCCGTTTCTTGATTTCGATAGAGCGACTCTCCGTCATGCTTTCGCGGGGGAATTCCTCGCCAGATTGCGCACGAAAATTGCCGCTGACGCAGCCGATGGTCTCCGCACACCGATACACATGCAGCCCCGCGTATCCGTGCATCGCCACTGACGACCTTCATTACCGCGCGCGGAAGGAGAGACAGCGTAACGCACGAAACGCACGTGATAAAAAACGGGGAGCTGCCAGGAGCGTTCGGCTCGCCTCGCGGCGCGGCGATATCAAGTCGCGCGGAACGCGCGAGAAATCCAAATTCCCCTGAAATTACAGCCCCGCTTCGAATCTCCTCGATAAGAAGATCGCGCGGCCTGCAGTTCCGGCAAGTCTTTCCTTCTTATTTCCCCATTCTTTTTTCTCTCCTGCGCGCGGTAATGAAATATAAATATCGACGATAAATACACAACGCATCCTTCCGCGCGGCGCGGCGGGGAGGGGCGGTGGATGGGCGGACGGGCGGAATGAAGGGGGAGCTAGAGCGAGAAATCGCGAATTGGAGGTAGGTAAGATCGCACAAAAGTAGCGAAGCGAAGAATTCTCTCAGGGGAACTCCGTGCAGCTACCGGATAAAAGAAAGGGAAGTCGAGGCAAGTTACTGCCTGCGAGCCTTTAGATGAGAGTCGAGAAGACGAAGAAAAAAGGGCCAAGGAAGAGAAAAGAGGGTGATCCGGTTGGTGGCGGTGGCAGCGCGGCGGCGGCGGCGACGGCGGCGGTGGCGGCCCACCGGGTTGTTTCTGATTCGTAATTAGAGATGAGTGAGGCCAGGAAGAGGCCAAAGAATATATTTCTCTCCAAGCGAGTAATAGCTAACGGTACGGCGCAAGCCAACCGGAAGAATAACTGAGTTCCCATTTTTCTCGTTTTATGTTTTTTTTTCCCTCTTCTTCTTCTTCTTCTTCTTCTTCTTCTTCTTCTTCCTCTTCTTCTTTTCTTGATCCCTTTCTCTACCCTTGCCCCTCCGTCGTGTCTCTGTTTCACTCGGTCTCTCGTCCATCGGCACCTTTCTGTTACCTCGCCTCTGTTCCCTCCTCCTCCCGCGGGGGAAGAGGGAGGGATTTTTTCGTGGCGATCTTTTTGCAATGAGGTAACGACAGATTCTCGCTGCGAAGGCGAGCCCTTAATTGTGCATTGACCTGTCGAGCGGGGCTACCGTGATATAGCGAGAGAGGACTCTTCTTTTTCTTAACTGTGTGTCGCCCGACGACAGACCCGTGAACAGACGTTGCGCTGTCCGAGAAATGTTGAATTCCCGCTTTTAACTTGAACATGTCTTTGTCTGACTCGACTCTTCGAGCTGTCGTGAGCCCGGTGGCCTTGAGAACAAACCCGATCGTACTTGCGTACGATAACAATGTACCGCGAGCGCGCAATCCCGGGGCGGATTGAAACCGCCGCGACGTTCTTGCCTCGAACTTGCTCGCTGACGAAGGTGACAAATCGACGTCGTTACTCGCGACGTTGCGCGCGTTTTCAAGCGACTCGTCCAGTCTGGCGGGTGTTGTTGTTGTTGTTGTTGTTGTTGTTGTTTGCGACTACCTCGAAAATTCTGATTGCCCTTTCGCCCCTAATCCCCGTGAAATATTATCTAATTTCAGACTCGGCGACAGGCGTAATGACGACCGGGACGTTACTACTGACCGCTCTGGCTGTAATGATAATCCGATAAACGGGACACGTGTCTTCGCTTGGTCGATTGGCGCCCCATTGGTGGATTTCCTTCATTAACGAACTCAATTTAAACAATTAGACCTTAAACAGTACGGGAGACAGGCATACACAGGTACACACACGCGCGCGCGCGCGCACACAAGCACACAAGCACACACGCACATACGCACACACACGTATATTCGTGCATATGCAAAAAATATATACAAGTGACACAAAGACTGAACGGGGTAGTTAGCGTCGTATTAAATGACGGTGAGTAATTTACGCGTGCCAAGTTTAGTGTAGCGACAAACACGAGTCTACGAGAAGGCAAGAATTAAAAGAGCACGGAGCCCCCATCGATCCTTCACTCGGAAATTGTGTGTGATGAGATGACTCAGACGGGGAGGTGGGGACGTCGCGGCGCGACGGAGAAGGAGAAACAACGAGAATGAAAAATGGATGATTGACAAAGTGCAACGACTATCGCTTTCAGTGTAATATATTGTAAAACGCCGTAACAAGCTGACGTCGGCTACAATAGCAGTGATGTCGTCTCCGCGGGTGCAATTTAAGACGTGCGCGAGTGAGTCGTTGCGTTTTCCGCAACGCCGACAGAAACCGCGCGCGCGCCACGGGATTCAAGTCGGCGCGCGATAACTGGCGCGCGCCCCGAAATAATATCAAAAAACAAAGATACTCGAGCTTAATAACGGATTAAAGTTTGACCGAGCCAACTACTTTTCGCTCTTTTTACATTTATACCGCCTCTCGAGATCGGTTTCTCTCCGTTTCTCTTTTCTCATTCATTCGTATTACGCGACGAGGTCTCCTCGGACTTCATCGGCAAACGTAAACGGTTGGACTTGAAGATTTGTCGTAGCTCGACGGCAATTACGGGAATTAATCGCACTTTGAGCGAGATTCATTTCCTACGGAACTTTCGGCACACACCGAATTCTACCTACGAGTGTTCCAACTCCCTTCACGCTCCTAAACAACGGCACGATCGTTTTCCTTTTTCTCATCAAAGTGTCGGGGGGGCGGAAAAGTATCTCTCGAAACGAGTGAGTGTCAGTCACCTCCGACGTCAATTTCTCGATGCTTTCCTTCAGCTTCCTTTTTTTCGACCTCGCAGACAATAGCGCCCTTTCTAATCCGCCGAATGTTCTAACTCGTCCGATTCTCCTCCGCTTTCTTGCGTACGAAATCGCGGATCCAATCCCGATACTTGAGATTAAAACGTCAGATTCGGTCTAGAGAGAAGTTGCTCCCCATTCTGCCGAGAGGTGCTCGAAAGAAGGGCCGAAAGAGAGAGAAGGGAGGAGGGGAGAGGGGGAGAATGGAAAATTCGCGGCGAGCTGCGAAACGGGGGCACGGCCGAAACCGTGCGAGGGAGACGGAATATGTCGGATCGTCGCCGATGTTAACGGCCGATTTTGACGCTGTAAACAAAAGCGGCGAGTCGACCATCGACCTTGCGACGCGAGTCTCTTCCGATCAATCCGCGGCGTCGCTTCGTCGCACTGCCGTTCCGGAAACGCCACGGTCCTCGTCGCGCGTCTTGTCGCGTTAAGAACGCAACGTTTTGCCCGCTTTATAAAATGCTCGCGTGTGTGCGTTCTTTCCTTTCATTATTTTTCGCCACCACGCGTGGTTATGATTTCGCGATTTCCGCGCATCGCGAGGACGCTAAGTAGAAAATATCTCTCCTTTGTATAAATACCTGCGCGCTCCTTGCACATGGAGCTCCTCCTTCTTCCCTTCTTCCGCTTCTTCCTCGTTTCCTTTTTTTTTTTGCAAACGAATACCAATTACCCGGAGAAAGAAGCTACTTCCGGCGAGCTTTTGTCTCGCGTCGAAGAGAAAGAGACTCAGGCTCACGATCTTGTAAAAAAGAAGGTGAACGGTTCCATCCGGCGCAATACGCTGCTCCTGCAGCACCGTATTATTTAACTACCAGAGTTTTTAGTAGCAGCAAGCCGTTTGTGAAAACAAAGAAATATCCCGCTCTCATTTCGTGAGGATGAATTTTCATACGACTACGTGCTGCTTCGCACACCGCTGTTATTTGCGATTAAAGTGACGTCAGCGTGCATCCATAACAACCGCAGAGATTTTCCAGTTATGAAACCGCTCGTGTACCACTCGGCGGAGGAGGGGAAGAACGAGAGAGAGAGAGAGAGAGAGGGGGGGGAGGGTCAAGAGAGCGAAATGATCGCGCTAAACAAATACATCGGGCTTGACGAACGGGCGCGACGAGCGAGCATTTGGCGCGGATTCGCGTTTCGCGCGATCAATTCATATTTGCGCGTTAATTGATTAAATTGGGATTTATTCGCGGACGCGGCTGCGAAAATCTGCCTTCGCCATGCCGGTTTTAAGCGGACTCCGAACTACTTAGGAATATCCATTATTCAGCGTACATCTTGTTTAAAGCAACAGGTTCGAGAGTCTCTGCACTCGCGCGCAAAAGGAGTTAATGCTTGCGACGGATTAAAGAAGGGAACGGTCGACTTAGGGATTACGCGGACTTACTCTGATGAGGTCTGTAATCGTATCATTCGCGAGACTACCTGCAGTCTTCTAACTTTAAAAGTCATAAGCATTTAACATAAGGGGATTGCGCGCTTTTGGAGCATCATGATTGTCGGAGCGGTGCAATCTGCAAATCTTATTGCGACTCCGAATCCGAATCCCGGCCCGGTCCTCGAGCGGTTTGTTAGGGGAGGAGACAGTTTCTCTCTCTCTCTCTCTCTCTCTCTCTCTCTCTCTCGACCGACTCGCTTAAAACATTTATTTGCATTTACATAAAGGCGATCGAGAACGGCGGCATTGTTCTCTCCTTCCTCTCTTACGAAGGCGCTCTTTATAAATTCGCTGTAGTGTCGTCGCGCGCCACTTGCGGCTCGACATTATGCGCAGGTCCGTACAAAGTTAACGTAAACAGAGGTGCTACACAAGTTGGGTCGTGTCTAATGACTTTGCGGTATTCTAATTAATTTCCAGCGAGACGAGAAGAAAGATAGAGAGAGAGAGAGAGAGAGAGAGAGAGAGAGAGAGAGAGAACAAGAGAGAAAGATATATCGAGATATTCGATGTCAATTATGTAAAGATGTTCTGAAACTTTTCGGAATTATCATCGAGGTTACACTTTTCACGGGTCTGTTGCACAGCTTCGATCTTTTTCTCCTCCAGTCGGAAATTATTTATCCGCCGGTCGTTTGACGCGATCGTCGAAAATTACGAGAAGCGTACGGACGCGCCCTCTCTGTTGTAAATTCAAAAGCAAGCGGACTCATCTGCACCGCCCGACGTAGCGCGTGATGTCACTTACGTTGAACAACCATTTCTCACGTACTCACGCGATTCTCATGCGCTCGTGACGAAAGGAGAGCGCGGCAAATCTTTTTTACAAAGCATGACTAGATGACCGTTATTTAGATAACACTTAAGCATTGTTTTCACGTGAAATTGTAACGAGCTTGGCCAACCGGTGGCATAAAGCACGTACATACATACAGCCTCGAGCGAAATACAGTACAGATATGCAGATATCCGGAGGAGCTTCTCGCAAAGACACGCAAAATTCTTTCCCTCCTCGCAGAGAAAAGATCGGTCATTCAGACGACAAGCGCGATACAAATTCGTCACCCTCGCTTCGGTCATGCCCAGGAACTCGAAAGACACGGTCTGCCGAGAACCGCAAACAGAGCTCGTATAGCACATGTGTGTGTATGTATGTATGTGTATACGCGTGTGTATGTGATGCGTGTAAAGCAACAATGACATTTTTCCTTTACACTTTTTTTTCTGCGTGTACCCATCCGCAATGCCATTTTCCATCAGCATCGTAGCTCCGCGACGCATCCTCCTCATAACTCAGATCGTGTTTCGTCGATTCAAAAGTCAAACGCGCGATGAGACGAGCAGAGGCGAATGCTCATCGCGCGCTTAGTTAGGCGTTGCTTGCAAGTTAACAAGCGCAAAAGAAGAATAACGGTAGCTTGAGCGCGACACGGTATCCAATATGGTCTGCTTCTATTTTAAGACGCGGGAGAAAATTTTTATATTTTTTGAAGCTAAGGATATTTTACGATAAGTAGAATTGGAAGGGTAACAATTTACGAGTGCGGAGTAAAAATTTCAACTGACTTAGATAATTACGAGGGCCACAATGTCGAATGTCTCGATACGTTTAATTAGTCGTATTGAACCTCGCGTAGCTGTTATTGTTTCCTTGAAAGAAAACGAAGTGATAAATGTATGTGTGTGCGTGTGTGTGTGTGTAAATTAACAAAACTGAATTGAATTCACAAACTTTTTCTTTTTTTAGAACCGAGCATCTCTCGTGGACGTAATAATCGTTCACTGCGTATCTTCCTTGCGTACATTGCAAATACGTGTTTAGAACTTACAAGTTAGAATTAGTGTGTATTGATAAAAAATGACAGAAAAGAATCACCGTCTCATATGTGTCGAATAGCTCAACCGCCCTCGCGAGAGAAAAATGTTTTGTTTCAAGGAACTGAGCAAAAATCATCGCGATGATGAAGTAAAATGTTTGCACAATTTACATCGATACACCAAATACACCGAGTGGAAAGCACAAATTTAGCGGTAAACTCGCCAATGATCACAAAAGTAGCTGAGCGATCGGTCTAAAGATGCTCGAACGTCGATTCACCGTCGGTGGATCCTACGGCGGTAATTATTAAAATCAATTTATTAATAGTATCCAATATTAAAAAAATATCTTTTTAAAGGTTATTATTATTCAAGAAAAATCTAACGATAAAAAATGTATGTAACATAAGTTTTTACATAAAATTTTTACGTAACGTATGTAACATAAGTTTTTACATAAAGTTTTTACGTAAAATTTATAAAACTTACCTTTTTAAACAAAAAGATAAAAAAAGGCACCAAGTGCAAGTCGTTAGCTTGTTGTTGCGCTTCTACTTGGCGCCTTTTTTTACCTTTTTGCTTAAAAAGGTAAGTTTTATAAATTTTACATGTAAATACTTATGTTACGTACATTTTTTGTCGTTAGATTTTTCTTGAATAATAATAACCTTTAAAAAGATATTGTTTTAAATATTGGATACTGTTGATAAATTGATTTTTCGATGGCACGGCCCATCATATCGTCTATTCAGCATCAGCTGACAAGCAATCAAATGACGGGCGACACAACATACCGTGCTTAACAATATTCTCACTTTATTATCTTTAGACATTCCCTCTCTTACTCTCCCCCCTCACCTCCTCACCTTCTCTCTCTCTCTCTTTCTCTCTCTCTCTCTCTCTCTCTCTCTCTCTCTCTCTCGCACATTTTCGCCTATACTGTATTCTAGCATATCTCTCGCTTACTCGCTCGCATTCGCTGCTGTCTGCTTCTTTAGCGTTCTCATAACGCCTCTGGTGTCGGAAAAGCAAGATGCACGCATATCCCCACTCCTGTGCGTCCGACGTTTCTTTTTTATTACTGAATCGAAATTTTCCGTCATTCGGACTTTATCTTAAAATACCTCCACT